ATGGAAACTAATAAAGTAAAGAGCTAATATTTCTTGGCAGCTTACAAGTCCAGGCACTGTGTTAGGTACTTAACTTGGGTTGTCTGTTCATCCTCACAGCCTGATGAAGAATACAGCTCCAACTTACAGATGAAGAGACTGAGAGTCAGAATTTAAGTAACTTGCTCAAGGTCACATGGGTACAAGAAAACAGAGCTGGGATTCAAATCTGACTTTGAACCCATGTTCCTAACTGTAGTACTCGCCACCTCTTTTTTCCAGTCACTCCTCAATATCCAACCTACTCTTCTTGTTAGGTAGCTCACTCTGTGTTCCAGAGTCCCTGCCTTTCCCTTTGCCAGGCATCCAGATCCCAAATGCAACCCAACCTTATATGTCTAACCTGAGCCCTTCTCTGGGTGCATTCCTGGCTCCCGAACCCATGTCCCTTCTCTAGCCTCTCATTCTACATCACACCCCCATCCCACCCCCTTAAGCATCAACTCATTTTGTATATTCATCTGATGTTCCAAACTAGAACATAAATTCCAAATTAGATTATAAAGTTCCCCAAAGACCTTTATTTTACTTTCTCTCATCGTAGCCACAGAATTTAGGCAGAGTTTAATAAATTACAATTGCCCTTCCATTGTTAAATTGGTTCTATGATCCTAAAAACATAAATAGACTCATAGGGGGGGAAAAAGGTAGGTGACCTATTTAAGAATCAGTTAATAATATGTGCTTGCTTGGCAGAGTCCTCTCTCTTCAGTTAATCACTACCATTGTTAGGACACTGCTTATCTGACTGGTTTTACAATGGCTGCACAGTCCTGGTTTACATACTGTAGACTGGGCTTAGATCTCTAGCTTAAGTTTTTGGGCCAAGGCCAAAACTAGAGGTCACTGGAGCACCCACTTAATTTGAAATTAAAGGATAGAAACTCAAGAGTCTGTCCTTGCTTATCTCATGCTCTGAAAACTCACAGGCCTTTGTATTGGCCCTTTGTAACTCAACACTGACAGTCTTGAGAGGTTATTTTTAATAGCTGTGTGTTCTACAAACTCCTGAGCAGTGGCATGGATGAACACAGCAACTGAAAGGATTATTGCTGGGACCTCTACTATGGAAACTGCTACTGTGTCACAAGTATTGGGCTGACCTCTTGACTTCCATTATCCCCCTTTCCCACTGCTTCCCTTTTGGAGTATCAAATGCTCTGTGTTTGTAGTCATGACATATAGAATTGCCTTACTAGCTCATGAGACAAAGGAAATTCTATGGGATCTCACTCGTTTTCAATCCATCTCTATATTACTTGCTATGTCTTGACCTCAGCCTGAGGAGCTTATATTTCTTTTCCTTCTTGGGAAGAGGAATGGGCATGGACTACAGAAGATCGGCTTCCCTGTGGGAACATTGGATCACTGGCCTGAAAACAAAGCAGTCCTCCCAGAGACTCCCTCCTTAGGCGACTTCTGGGAGCTATGTTCCATAGGGATACCAAATGGGAACTTCAAGCTGGTCATTTGTTGACATTTCGCCTCCTTCTCACCTCTGCCAGTGCTGTCCCGTATCACCTTTAGATTGCTTTAGGGATGATGTACAATCAATGCCTCCAGACCTCACTTTATCCTTCATACTCATACAAGTAGATGATAAAGTATGTCTTAATGCCATTGGAAAGGGCTTCACAATAAATTTTCTTTTCTCATCTGCCTCTCGAGCCTTCAGGCACTCTATTAGATACTGTAGTATTTATGTCCCCTCTAAGGGAGGAGAAGTCCAAGTGATTACATAGTAGGGGAATTAGAATTTCCTCTTTGTGGGTTACTTTATTTTAAATGAATATTCCCTAATTCCTCGCTCTGGTCTTCAATAGACTTGCATTCCTTGAACAGACTTGAACCACTTCCTGACCACAAATTTCCCCATTTGGAAAATAATAACTAAGCCTGCTTTAACCCTGGGCCTTATTTATCAACTCTTCTCACTCATCTCTGGTTCAGTCCTGGGGATTTTCCTTGGCTTTCTGCAGTTGGTGGTCATTATGTCCTGAGCAGAACAGATTTGTGATGTCTCTGGGGGTCCTTTCCTTCCTTCCTCTCTCTCTCTCTCTCTCTCTCTCTCTCTCTCTCTCTCTCTCTCTCTCTTTCTCTCTCTATTGAAAGTTGTTGCCTCTAAGGAACACTCGGGGATCATAGTTAACAGTTTGGCCTCATACTCCAGTGGTCAGACAAGACATTAGCTCACCCTCTTAATCATCATCAGAATAAAACCTGTTGAAGATTTCATGGAGACCCCCACCAACTCTGTTGCCCTTGCCAAGAAAGATTACTCTTCAAATAAGTCTAGTTCTCCACAAGACCATCAAGGACGGGTAGTTTCAGTACAAATGGGATGTCAATTCCTTCAAGAAAGGCCCTGGTTGAGTAATCCTGAGTGTACTAACCATTCTGTGGCAAATGTGACCTGCAGGACAAGGTTGGTGACACATAATTACTTAAGGATGAATAAATATGTTTTTTTAAGATGCTTCTAGCTCTAAAGTGTGTGCTAATATTTTGTCTCATATGTATAAAATGCATGATATTTACTTGAAAATTAACATGTACAAAGTTGCGTAACTCAAGAATTAGGACAATCTAAGAATTGTCACCTACTGAGCTCTCTGTAGGCTGCTTTCTGGATCTCTGTTTCACTGGCACTGAGCAGGAAACTCTAAGTGCAGGCCCAGGTGACCTGCAGCTTTCTCTCCCCTCCCCCCCCTCCCCCAATGCAGAGAGATCCTTCACAGTCATGGTCTGTGGGACATACATGTGAGCCCACAACTGCTCCCTATTGGTCAAGAGGGCAGAGCCAAGATCACTTTCTCTCTGTAGGGCAAGCTCTAAAACTCGCCCTTGTTCTGGGTGAATACTCATTGTTCTTTCCTTCCCCTTAGCCAAGCTTAACCTCCCATGTTTTCTTCCAAAGAAATCCTAAAATGCAGATGGGTGAAGGTTCAAGGAAAATTTGGGGCAATTTTCTTCTTGTAGTTAAAAGCTTTAGCTCTGACCCAGTTGGTGTGGCTCAGTGGTTGAATGTCGACCCATGAACCGGGAGATCAGGGTTTGATTCCTGGTCAGGGCACATGCCCGGATTGCAGATTTGATCCCCAGTAGAGGGTGTATCTCTCTCTCCCTCTCTCTTCCTCTCTGAAGTCAATAAAAATATATTTAAAAAGAAAAATAAATAAAAATAAAAGCTTTAGTTCTGTTTCTCTTACTCAACTTCATTGCATGCCAGCACTGTATATGAACATGAGCTTTCAAAGGCTCTTTTGCTGCTTACGTTTTCATCGTTGTATTTGACATCATCTGACATCCATAAAGCTAAGTCTTTTCAACTTTTTTCCCCATACATTAGTTCATTTTTAAATAAAATAACCAGGAAAGGTCTAGAGAATTGGAGTTTCCAGATTGAATACAACTTTAATGTTTTCCAATTGCACTTCCTATTGAAGCCACATAGGTGGTCACCCATGCTCTCTTTAAATCCCTCTAGTGCAGAGGTTCTCAACCTGTGGGTCGCGACCTCTTTGGGGGTCGAATGACCCTTTCACAGGGGTCGCCTAAGACCATCGGAAAACACATATATAATTACATATTGTTTTTTTGATTAATCACTATGCTTTAATTATGTTCAATTTGTAACAATGAAATTGGTTTCCAGATTGAATACAAATTTAATGTTTTCCAATTGCACCTCCTATTGAAGCCACATAGGTGGTCACCCGTCCTCTCTTTAGAGCCCTCTAGTACAGAGGTTCTCAACCTGTGGGTCACGACCCCTTTGGGGGTCGAATGACCCTTTCACAGGGGTCGCCTAAGACCATCGGAAAACACATATATAATTACATATTGTTTTTGTGATTAATCACCATGCTTTAATTATGTTCAATTTGTAACAATGAAATTGGGCGTCACCACACCATGAGGAACTGTATTAAAGGGTCGCGGCATTAGGAAGGTTGAGAATCACTGCTCTAGTGGTAGGAAATTCACCTTCACACAATCAAAGCACGCCATCTTAAGAAAACCTCTGACTATTGAAAAAAAACAAAAAAAACTTTGTTATTATGAATCTTGTCACTTCTACCCCTTGGCCCAAACAGTGCTTTTGTATTCAGGTTAAATGAGTGTGGATTTCCATCCCCCTCACCATCCTGGCTACTTTTCTCAGTACAGTTCAGTTTGTCCAGGTGTCTCTTAAGGTGTCATGCAAAGAGCTGAATATGCTAGCTGTGTGAAGACTGTCATCCTTGCCCTGGCCAGTTTGGCTCAGTAGATAGAGCATCAACCTGCAGACTGAGGCGTCCCTGGTTCAGTTCCGGTCAGGGGCACACGCAGGCTCAATCACCAGTAGGGAGCAAGTGGAGGGCAGCCAATCAATGATTCTCTCTCATCAAGCTGAGCCTGCACTGTTGCCCCAGCAGCAGTGTGAGTCCTCCTCTCCCTCTTTGGCCTTCAACTTCAGACTACCCCGGGCAGGGGGCGGAGCTCTGGTTGGAGGAGGGGAGTTGGGTTTCTTGACCTGCCCAGTTGGTTTTTGTTTTGTTGGTGTGTGTTTAATTGATTTCAGAGAGGAAAAAAGAGAGAGATAGAAACATCAATGATGAGAGAGAATCATTGATTCGCTGCCTCCTGCACAACCCCTACTAGGGTTCAAGCCTGCAACCCAGGCATGTGCCCTTGACTGAAATCAAACCCAGGACACTTCAGTCCACAGGTCGATGCTCTATCCACTGAGCAATACAAGCTAGGGCTCTTGTCTTTATTTCTTGATATAACGTGAAAATTTGGCCAGGGATCCCATTTAACACTGAGATAGAATAACATGAGATGCTACTGGTTTCTGTGTCAATAAAATGGTGAAAAAGGCCTGAGCCAAAAAGACTTTCTGGAAATGTCGTTGGTAAATGGATCTAAGACAATAGTCTTAAAGTTGCCTTATTGAATTTGAGTATCCCTCCCTTCCTCTCCCCTTCCCCACTTTACTTGCTTCCTCCTTCTCCTCCTCCTCCTCTGCCTCCTTCCCCTCCCCTTTCTTTATGTGGATACCATGCATGTCGTGTTTGTTAGTCATCTGTTCTGTGAAGCAGCCTGTCTGTGACTCAGCAGGATGGTCCCATCAAATGGGTGCTATTGCCATAAGACACCAGTGGGAAACTAGAAATAGAAAAATGCTCCTATTGATTTGACTATTCAGCTGTGGCCCATTCAAACTTTTTGTTTTTAGCTACAAGAGATATAACAAGGAAATATTCTTTCTGGGTATGCAAATACATAACATTTAGAAAAAAAGAATTCTAAAATTAGGACTCCAGATGATCTCACTAGTCACAAATGGCTCAAAGCCAAATAAATATGAATTCATTTTAAGAAATACATGCATTCTACCTGGAACTTTTAAGAGACCCGGGAAACCAAGCAACCTTTGTGCCCCAACTCCAGAAAGAATTGAGTCAGATTAATAGAGCCACTCTGTGGTGGCTGGATAGCTGATGGACTTGTGGCTCAGAGTTGATGCAACCCAAGAGAAGGTTTTGCTTGACTTGGGAGAAAACTGCTATCTTAGGTGGGCCAAGAAGGCTGGGCATATTTCCAAAGAGAATGAAAATAGGATCTTAAAGAGATACCACCACTCCTATGAAAACTGCAGCATTATTCACAACGGCCAAGGTATGGAAACAACCTAAGTGTCCATCAGTGGATGAATGTATCAAGAAAATGTGCTAACAGAGATAGAAACCATCTTTCCTGCTCTACCCAAAGGCCTGGCCTGCAGATTTTGGATTTGCCAGCCTCCATCATTGTGTGGGCCAATTCCTTAAAATAAAACAGAATCTCTCTCTGACTTGCTCTCTCTGTCAATTGAGATATATAAATCTTGTTTCTGTTTCTTTGGAGAACTTTTACTAATACTGTTATTAAGCTACCCTTTCTGATCTTTAAGAACTGTTTGATCTTTAAGGACAGCATGATTATTCTCTTAATATAAACTTTTTACATCAATAATTGGTGTTATTGCTCTTTGTGTCCTTTTATTGAGGTCTAAGACAACTTCTTTTATCTTAGATCTTTTCACAAGTTTAAAATCAATCATGTGGCTTTATTATACGCCTAAGAAAATTCAAAATTTCTTTGCATCTGTATGAGCAATGCTTCCACTCATTCTTTACCTCATTACTAACCACTGACTGGCAACACTCTGTTGGCGGTATGCCCCAGTTGTCTGCTATATTTTGAAAATCAACACATCCTTCAATAGAGCAGATTTAAATATGTTGCAGCTGAAGTCTGGCAACTTAAGTCCATTGATGTTCAACAAATTAAATAATATGCCTTTGTTGTTCCTCTTGTTCTTAGTCTAATTTTTATTTTATTAAAGTGTGCTCTGTTGGCACCTAGCCTCCTTGCCTATCATCTGGCCCCTGAAGGAGGAATTCTACAGAAAAATGAGTTTGGGAAGCACTGCCTGTTACATTCCACTTACGAAGTTTTATAATATACACGACATATTAAATGTTTGAGAAGTCTTATAGTAACCTGTTTAAATTAATTTAATCCAATGTGTCCCAAATGTATTTGACCACAGAAAAAAATGTTCCTGCAATATCTATTGGAACACATTTTGGAAAATGCTAGCCTCATGTTGTAACTTATTGTCCTCGTTAGGGGTCATAAAAAGGATATTGCCTTAAGCAAAGAATAAAGAAGAACACATTATGTTATGAAACCTACTGAACAATCAAGGTACTAATGATCCTGATAACTGGACAACTTGAATGAAAGGGTGTAGTCCATATCATCCAAGAGAGGAGGAAATAAAGTCAATTGCTTAGCTTGAGCCTTTACTTGCTTCTCTCTTTCCTCCCCAGCTTTCCTGGAATATAATTGGCATTTAACATTGTGTAAATTTAAAGTGTACAGGTGGTGATTTGATACACGTATCCACTGCAAAATGATTACCACAATAAGGTTAGTTAACACATCCATCAACTCACATAATTACCATTTTTTGTTGTGACAGTGATGAGAATATTTAGGATCTATCCTCTCAGCAACTTCAAGTATACAATACAGTATTGTTAGCTGTAATGACCATGCTGTACCTTAGGTCCCCAGAACTTATACATCTTATAACTGGAAGTTTGTACCATTTGACTATCTCCTCATTTTCTTCAATCTGTGTAGAAAGCAGTTGGTAAAGCACTAACATGATAAAACTATATCATTGGGAATATGCATGCAATGCTGTAAATTGAAATCAAGAATATATTAAAAAACCTCAAATAGGCAAATGCATCAAAACTGAAAATAGAGTAACGGTTACTAGAAGATATAACCATTGGGAGAAACTAGATGAAGGGAACTTGGGATCACTTTGTAGCATCTTTGCAACTTCTTGTGAATCTATACTTATTTCAAAAAATGTTAAAACTAAGAGAAATCATATGATCTTTTCAGATGCTTATAATTCATTAATTCTAATGAACTTTCTGTTAATTGATTTTTTTTTAAATCACCAAAAAGATCTATCTAGAACAAAGAAGCGTAACACTCAAACATTGTAGGTATTTTTAATAAAATTGGGAATTATACAAGGATGCTCAACATCATTGTTATTTAACGTCTTTCTGGAAGTTTCGATCACTGCATGCTCCATGATTATAACTGACAATATGGAGAGACCATGAGAAGCTATTTTCTACTGCAACATCATCTGCTTAGGTCTTAGATGTCTTTTAGCTTCTTAGCCTGTTTTCTCTTTTATAACAGTAGAGGATTGATTGGACTAAAGCATTACTTTTAATCCTCCTTTTGTTTCTTAGGATTGGACACTTTCCTTCCAAACATTTTCTTGTCTGGGATACCAAACTATAAAACAGGTAAAACTGGAATTGCTCTGATGGAAACAGGGGTGGGGCACCCAGATCCTGGTCTATCCTGATCCTTCTCTCCATCTCTGCCCATCCCCAGCTTCCTCTGCATAAAACAAGCCCCTAAGACACTCAAGGAAGCTAGCAGAGGCCACACTGTGTCCACAGTACTAACATGCTAGAGCTCTTTGAAACCTGCCAGGTGAGCTGATTTATGGAATTTGGAATAGAACTCAAAGTCACAAAGAAGCAAAAGAATGAAGTCTGTCTCTAGCGGAGTACTTGATTTTGGACCTGGTACAGGTCTTGCTTTGTGACTCCCAGTGAGGCTTTCTCCTCTTTCAACTTCAATTTCTTATCTGTTCATTCAACAAAGATCATGTCACTCTAGCTTTGTGCCTGGCTCACTTTTGTCAGTGGATGCTGACATCTGAATGGACAT